TGGACAATTTGAAGGTGAGTCAGTCAGTAAGTTTATGTGTTGGTTGACTTCATGCACTGCAGGACACAACATAATGTAACAACATAGAAATCTGAGATGGTGTCATGTCACGAATTGATTTAAATTTTCCCCATTAGGCAAAAAGGGCCACCTTTTCAGAGTTCACGCGTGAACAAATGAGCTTTTTTGAGAAAGTCTCAGATCTATCACCTGACGACTTTCTGCCACTGAAGGAAAATCTGGAGAAAATCAAGACATTTCTAGATTATCAGAATAAGTTGATGGATGCAGAAATGGCTGACACTGAAATGAATCTGGGAAGAGCTAATGCATGTATCCGAGCGCTTGAAGAGCATCAAGCTGAATTGTAAAGTCCATGTCATTCAGTGTCTCTATATCTCTGATTTTGCATCTATTGTATCTCTTCGGTTTTTCTTTCTTATTGTGTTTCTTTGCACTGGCCTATCATGAATTAATTTTTAATTTTTTAATATACAATTTGTGAAGTAGAAACAATGTTTATACAAGATGACTTCTAAATAATTTTACTTCAACGTAGCTCAAATATTAAGAAGGGTAACCCAAGTCATTTGTTTTTGTATTCCTGAGCAATACTTTCTGATAATAAATGCTGTATTGAATTATCGCATCATTTTTTTTGCTTTTCTTGCAACTCTGTAATATCAGGTCCAGACTTCTGATGCAGGTTTGTTTTATGTAGAATTGGTGCCAGAGCTGATGAGGCCCAGAACATAGCAGCGAAGAGATAAGGATGGTTAAAAAATAAACTTGCAGAACTGTGTAATGGCAAAATGTATATCAAAGTGTCTGCAAAGCAAAATAGAAAAGTACATAGACACAAAGAGACAGCGGAAAAACACTGTCAGCCCTTACTGTGAACTGTCTACACACAGGACTACCTGGTTCCTGTTCATCAACTTCCGTTTGTGAGAAAACTAACCACAAAGATCAGTTTTCGGTGCGCCTACACAGGCCAGTTGAAACCAGTTCTGTATCACATACAGTGCCTTGCATAAGTATTCACCCCCCTTGGATGTTTTCCCCTTTTGTTGCTTTTATACATGAAATCATGGTCAGTATAATTTGGCTTTTTTGTCAAGAATTTGCAAAAAAAGCTTCTTTCATGTCCATGTGAAAACAGATTTTTACAAACTAATGTCAATTAATAAAAAATATATGTGTAAAATAAGTGTTTGCATAAATATTCACCCTCTTTAAAGTGACTGACCTAATTCAACAGAAATCCAGCTAGTTGATGCCAGCAGTGTCACAAGTAGTGAAATGGAGATGACCTGAGTGCAGTTGATGTGTGTCAAGTGATTGTAGTATAAACACACCTGTGTCTGGGAGGTCCAGTCTCTGGTTCATCAGTATTCCTGCTACAATTGCAACATGAAGACAAAATAACACTCCAAGCAACTCAGAGAAAAGATCATCGAAAAGTACGAGTCAGGAGATGGCTACAAAAATATTTCCAACTCACTGGACATCCCACAGAGTTCAGTTCAGTCCATCATTAAGAAATGGAAGGAGTATGGCACTTGTTTAAATCTCCTAGAGCTGGCCGTCCTCACAAACTGAGTGACCGGGCAAGAAGAGGACTGATGAGGGAGGCCACCAAGACACCTACGACCACTCTGAAGGAGTTAAAAGCTTCAGTGACTCAGATGGGAGAGACTGTACATACAGCAACTGTTGCCCGGATTCTTCACCAGTCGAAGCTGTATGGGAGAGTGGCAAAGAGAAAGACACTGTAGAAAGAATTCACCCAAAGGCATGTGTGAGACTCCAAGGTCAAATGGAAGAAGGTTCTTTGGTCTGATGAGACAAACATTGAGCTTTTTGGCCATCAGACTAGACGCTATGTTTGGTGAACACCAAACACTGCACATCACCACAAACGCACCATCTCCACCGTGAAGCATGGTGGTGGCAGCATCATGCTCTGGGGATGCTTCTCAGCAGCAGGCCCTGGGAGGCTTGTAAAGGTAGAGGGGAACATGAATGCAGAAAAATATCGCCAAATCCTGGAGGGTAATCTGACTCAGTCTGCAAGAGAACTACGACTTGGGAGAAGATGTATTCTCCAGCAAGACAACGACCCCAAGCATACAGCAAAAGCTACACAGAATGGTTCAAAGACCACAAGGTGAATGTTCTGGAGTGGCCAAGTCAAAGCCCAGTCCCCAATCCAATCCAGAATTTGTGGCTTGTAATGGCAAAATATATGTAAACCATGTGCTTCTAATCAAATGTATATTTAAGTGTCTGCTGTGCAAAAATAGAAAGGGCAGAGACTAGTGGAAAACACGGCCCGCCCTTCCTGTGAACTGTCGATAACAGAACCACCTGATGCCTGGTTATCTGCTTCTGCTTGTGTCAGTTTCTAAAGAAAACTGAACCTTTTAGATCAGTTATCTGGGAGGCCTACACATGGAAGTTGAAGCAAGTCTTGTATCACGTACATGCAGACTCCCGCTTGTCTATGGTTCATCTTTGGTGTAACCTTCTGTAACCCTAACCCTAACCCTAACCCTAAATGACATGTCCAGCGATCATTCGAAGAAGCCTTCCCTCAGTGCACTGAAATACGTGTCTGTTGAAACTGCTCTCCTTGCTTGCAAGCAATAAAAGAACAAATAACTTTGATTCTCTCAAGACTCTTCTCCCGATTAATCATAGAAATCTTCCATTACAGGCTGGACTTGAAAAGAGCTGTTCACACCCGATCCCTGAGCAACCTGACAGAGCTTGAGCTGTTTTAAAGAAGAATAGAGAAAAATCTTAGTGTCCAGATGTTCCAGCCTGAGTGAGACACATCCACACACACACTCAGTGCTGTGATTGCAGCCAAAGGTGCATTTACTAAATACTGACTTGAAGGGGGTGAATACGTATGCAATCATTTACTTTACCTTATATATTTTTAATTAATTGACATTATTTTGTAAAAATCTGTTTTCACTTTGATATTAAAGAGATTTGTTTTGCAAATTCTTGGCAAAAAAGCCAAGATATACTGTCAAGGCCACATGCTTTGTTCACTGCCAATTTCTCAATGGCATACAACACTTCATCAGGTCTAATAAATACACCAGCATCATTAGGAACATCAACAGTATTAAATGCATCACTTCCTGTGGCAGCTGTCAAAGATGTAACTCCATGTGCGTCAGGGCAAAATGGCTACTTTGCTACTTCATGCTGATGTTACCCGCTCATACGTAATCAAGCTGAGACTCTAAAGTTTCCATCAGTATAAGTCTGATCACTCTATGACCAACTCACTAAATCAGCAGCCGAAGCTGAAAAAATGAACGTCACGCAAACTTCCCTTTATGCAGACATAGCCATAGGTTATGTCCTACCTCTGCTGTTTTATGATTAAAGAGTTGTGTTTGAGAGCATAGCAACACTGCTAATGGCTACTCCACTGTCTCTGGATCATTTTCAGTCGACTCCAGCCGCCTGTAGTCATGTGCATGGCAAGGAGAAGCATTTGTAGTCTATTCCTCCATCATAGAACAAAACTTTCTTCAGCCTTGTATGAAAGAACATGTCTCCCTCTAGTGGATACATCGTGGTACTGCATGTGCGTATGGTTTCTTTGAATGGGAACATGTGTCTGATTGACAGATTTCAACACAAAGCCAAAAACAGCCGATTTACATGGATTTAAAACTGTCATTTATAATGTTTTCCAACTTAATTTAGTCTGACCCAGTAAACATAAACCTCTGTAGAGATCTCACAAGTGTTATCTTTATTAAGATACCAAGATTATTCAAATAGACCTCGTAGTTGCAGAGACATGTTGGGCATGTCATTTTTGACCGTGGGCCAGAGTCTTGGGGTTCGAGCGTTTTTTTTACTATGTATTTCATAACTTAAAAAGATACACGCACACACACACACACACACACACATGCAGAATTTACTAACAAGTTTGGTCCATTTCTGGGAAGGTAAGAGAAGCACTCAGCATCATTTGTTTCTCGTCTTTCTCACGTCCAGATCTTCAACAGACAGTATGGGAACAGTAAACAGCAACTTTTTTAGGCTTTATTACAAAACAACATGACAAAAACAATACATTTTTTAAGTTTCAAACTCACAAAACGAGGTGATGGTGACTTTGTGTCTGGCAAGGTCCATTTCGTGAGACTGAAATGAATTTCACATCTTTAAAAAATCATTAACTCCTGCCTCAGTAACTGTGAAGGTGAACAGTGACAGATCTGGGCAGCTGTCACTTGCATCTGCTGTGCATTTTAAACTTTCCACATTCACACAAATCTGGCAGGTGTCCTCGAACCCTATCGCCCTCTTGACCTCTGCGGAAGTGTAGGCAGGGACAGCCCGGTCACGGTCACTGTAGCCCATGTGAGGGACTCCCTTTATGGGTCTTTAGTCTCCGAGAGGGACACCTCTCTGTTTGAAGCCCAGGCCCCCCCGTGCAATCCGACCGGGCAGTCTATGGCTCAGCAGTCCCTTGGTGCCTTTGGACCTGATGAGGTCTGGGGTCTGAATGGTGTGTCAGAGAGAGGAACATAAATACAGAGAGATGCTGAGACATTCAAAGTGCACTTTTCTTTTGCAGTGCCATCAGGAGAAGAGAATGAGAGAGCAAACAACAGCAGTTAAGTTAAGGAGAAGGACAATATGGCTTTTCTATGTCTACACATGTAGACATTTCATCTTTGATTTCTTTTTTTTTTAAACATTTAAATTGAGTGACATCACACTCAGCTCCGTGTCCACAGTCAAGTTCAGACTGTTCATATTTACATTTTATATTACATCTGACATTTATTTAGCGGTGGCTCTCATCCTGAATGACTCACAGCACTGTAACACGTTTTCTCTCTCACATGCATGGCGTAGAATTATCATATATTTCTCATATATCTCTGTAGTCTCTCTTCATGCCACATCTCCCAGTCAAAGGCATTTGACAGTAGCCATTATGTCGTCCTCCCGGTTTTATTCAGTTTGTTTGGAGGATGCAAAATGGTGCGGTCAACATTTGTATCTTTTCATATTGAGCTTTCTTCACACTTGGCCAGTGGTGCTGGTGATTTAAACATGGGAAAGCTGGCCATCTCCTCCTCTAGTCCTTTTAATCCCTCCCCTAACCCGTCCCCCAGACCCTCATCCACCTCATCCCCCTCCCTCAACTTCCTCTCTACCGCCTCAGGCCTCCCCATCTCCCTCTCCCCCGTCCTTCCATCCAGCAAGTTTGCAGCTAAAATTTCAGAGGTTAACTTCAGCCCGCTGCTGCTTGTGTTGCAGTTGGCATACAGAGCATTCCCGTGGCCGTTGCTGGGGTTGCTGTGGATCAGGGTGTCGCTGTAGCTGTTCCCAAGGTGACCACCATTCCCCTGGTTGCTTAGAAGCGTTGTGGTCGTGTTTGTGGTCGCCGTCCCGTTGCGTTTTTCTGTCAATCTGAATCCCTCGGACAGCAGGCTGGCACTGCTGGGAGACTGCGGCGTGGCTGAGGAGCCCAGCAAGTCCCGCCCTTTATCTGATGACAGCGAATTATCAGGGAGGTGGTGACCCTGGCGGGCAATGCTGCGGCGACGTGTCACGAAGTAGAGGAGAAATACACCAAACGCTAAACCCAGGATGAAGAAAAGGATGTAGATGGCCAGGACGTGACGACCTCCTGCTGCCGCCACGGCTCCTCCAGCACTGGGGCCTTCCAGTGTCAAGTGATAGGCTGCTCTGCGGCAGGGGGTGGGGTCTCTGCTACCTGGTCCCGCCTCCTGGAGCAGAGCAACATGACAGAGAAGAGAGCCGTTTGATTTTGAGTTGTTGATAAAAGATTTGCCGCTAACACACAAGCTGCCACGAAAAACATTTGTTATTACGTTACAATAGCAGGACACCGTGAAATAGCGTCAATGTGGTGAGCTAACGGTTCTGCCTGTGTACCTGGCATGTGCATATGTATTTCCCAAGGCTGTCCTTGGTGACAGTCACCTCCAGGTCAGAGTGGTGCTGCCGGGTGTGTCCGTGGGGGGGATGCTCCCAGCTACAGGACCGGGGAGACAGCTGGACACACGGCAACAGGAGGCGCAGACCCACAGAGACTCGCAGCTCCCTCATAGACGGGGTGCAACGCCCTGGAGGAGACGACACGCAGGGAGACAGATGAGAGTTGAACGATAGAGAAAACAGACATAAAGATATTATAGCGATACAGAACGTATAACACAGGTTTGAAATCATCAGCAATCATAATGCATTGATGCAGAGACGCACTTACCCTCTGCTATATCACACTTTCTCAAGGCGTTGTCTACAATATCACCTGGACCAGGCCTGGATACACACACAAACAGGAGTCACATTTTTGCATCATATTTTAGTCGCAAAAAACTTTTAGTAATACATCTCCAAATTGATTAGTCTATCTACGGATAGTTAGTTCCAATTTTGATAAGTGATTAGATTATTACTACACAGAGAATGCAAATATGTTCTTGTTTTTATGTGGTCACAATATTTTTCTCTTTTTTTGCTGTTGGATTTTGAAGACTTTAAGGTATAGGCATATGGTATATTTTTAAAGGTTTAAAAAAATACACAAAATGATGAATTGACATACTATAAAGAAAATAGGTCAATGTTCACATATAACTAAACCATATTCTATTCCAATACTGGGTCAGAAAACACTGTCTGCCTTCGCTTCTCATTTTTGGAAGGTTTCCAGCTCTGAGAGATATTCCTGTAGTACTCACTCTGCTGTTGTGGGCCTGCAGGCTTCCTCCTCTGTGCTCCACACACAGCCCAGTCCTCTGGCTCTGGCACACACCACACAGCTGGGATACAGAGAGCAGCCTTCAGCCTGGACACGAGCCAGAGACAGAGGGCTGCCCACCAGAGCCCGGCCCTGGAAACACAGGGAACCGTTACAGAAGCACTGAGCAGCATAACAGATATTTCTGGGCGCTGCAGATTAATATATGCATGTTTGTGTGGTGCAAATACCTGGTGCAGCAATATATTGTTGACAGGCTCTTGTGAGGTGAACAGAGAAAGCTCCTGCAGTAAGGTGGCGTTCTGGCCCACTACTGCCACTTGGTGGAGCTCCCCGCGATCTGCAACACACACAAACAGTTTATTTTTTTAAATATTTACAACACTGAATTTTGTATTAAATCTGTCATGTCCATTAACTTTTACATGTCTGAGTACAGCAATGCACTTCATATTAATTTGTTTTCTATCTTAATACAATCATTATCTGCATTAACTCTAGTTTCCACAGACAGTTTGAGTTGATCTTGTGTCCCTTGTGCCTCCTCACCCGTTCCAAGGTGCAGCACTGCTGCCCTCCACTCGTCGTCCTCGCTGCCCGTCTGAGTTACAGCCAGCTTGGTGTATCGGATTCCCTTCCGCACCAGCAGGGGCGCTGCAGTTACACTGTTCTCCATCAGGGGGTGGTCCCTCACGAATGTCAACACCTTGTCGGGAAGTTTGAGTGAGGACTCGAAGCCCTCAGCCTTCAAAGCATTGTTCAAACACTACAAAATGTGCAGGGGAGAATGAAAAAAAAACATGCCCGAGTTAAGAAATTTGTAATGAATGTAGAATGTAAAGTGTAGACAGTCGACGTGTGGTTGTACAGTTTAGTACCTGGCCAGGCCTTGGTGTGGGAACAGGTTCAGGGATGATCCAGTTCTCGCAGGTCTTCTTCAGCTCTTTAAAGGGGCCGTCCAACACTTTGCTGATGTCAGACAGACTGAAAACACACACTGCTGACAACTCTTCACGCTCCCTAAGAATGGGAAAAAGAATGGTTCCCATAAAGACATGCTGTCCAATCATAAAAGAATAGTTTGACGTTTTGGGAAATACGTGTATTCCCTTTCTTGACGAAAGTGAGATGAGAAGATTGATACCACTCTCACGCTGCACAGCAAGTATATCTTGTTCCTCAGCTTACCACTGGGAGGTGAACAGCCCGTAGAAGTGTGTGCTGCTGGGATCGCCCGGTGTGTGTTCCGTGGTGAAAACATCAGTCAGGATGTTGTAGCGCTGACCGCTCGGCTTGTCCTCACACACCAGCTGGGCCTTGAGGAATGTGGTCCAACGTCGCTGCAGAGTCTTCATCCCTCCCACGTCAGACTGAACGGACAAGCCCGACAGTGAATTCACATGAGGCTGATCAATCAGCCAATCCATCACTCAATCAGGACGGTGGGTTTACCTTGCAGACGCGTGCCACCCTGGGCACTTTGACTTTGGTGTATAGATCATACTCTTTGGCCACCTCGGTGAAGAAGAAGTAGATTTTGTCATCGTCTCCTGTCGGGTTGCTGTCTGCAGACTGCTCTATGAAGGCTGAGCTCACAAACTCGGGGTCTGAGAAACACACACACACACACACACACACACACACACACACACACACACACAGTTTGACTATTTTTTGTCCTGTGGGAAAGTATGACTGATCATTTTAAGTGAAAGTGTGTTTGAGTCTTTGCATGTTCGTGCATGTGTGGGTTTAGTGTGCGCATGTGTGTCTCACCACTCAGCCAGTTGATGGATCGCTCAGTTCGGATGCGCTCCTGCTCAGCGCCCGTTGCCCGGGAGATGTCGAACAGCGTTCCCAGGAAGTTACTGGTGGCTGCTGTGTATAGAGTACCAGCTAGACAAAAGAGAGAGAAAGAGAAGTGAGTGACTACCTGGGATTAAGCTAATATTCTGATCAACCAGGCAACAGACAAACAAGGAGATTCATCAATCAGTTAGTCATTCAAGTGGTACCATCCCACCTGCCATAACAGCTGTGTAGTGCTGACTCGGCTCAAAGGGACACTTGCCCTTCCCCGTCTCCATCTTCACCCCTTCATCCTCGGCTTTCTCCAGGGTGAAGGAGGAGAGCTCCTGCAGGACGACAGGAAAAGAGAAGTCAGACTCACAATGGCAAACACTAAATCGACAAATAAATAAAAGGTAATTTTGTAGATCATCCTTTATATTCACAGCTGCCTTGTGTTTTATTATCTTCTAAATTACATACAATGATTTATTTTTTCTTTGAATTAGATCTCCACAGGTGTTCTGCTTAAAATGTCACTATAATCAAATTGTCACTTGCAAGAAAAGAAGAATCTAAAAGCTTTTGTTGGCTGACTGGCACCACATCTTTTTCTAATAAGTACTGAGTGGGGTGTGAGTTCACATGTGAATACATTCGCTGCGGTGGTAGGATAACAGAGTGGTTGCTTTTGTTTGTGTGCCCTTCTGCCTGTCCGTTCGGTGAAGGACTCTGGTGTGAATGAGTGTGGGAACTTGTCACAGGGATTCATTTGCGGACTCTTAATGCTCATACTGTAGGCGCAAACACACACAGACACGCGTGTACAGGGACACACATGCAAGCAAACACACACCGGTTTGGAATTATAGTGTGCTGCAGCCGGGTGTGTGTGTGTGTGTGCAGTGGTGGAGAGATCCTCGGGCAAAAGATCTGCCCTACAATGTCTCACTCACACACATGCAGACACGGACAAACAGGAGGAAGGCCTCTCTCTCACACACACAAACACACACTAACTAACCAGGAAGGCACACTGGGGGTCGAAGGCGTAGGTGCCACACACGTAGATGCGTCCGTCGCCAAGAAATTCCAGCAGACGGATGTAATTGTTACAGTCGACCTGCAGGGGGAGACAAAAACCCAGAAATCAAGATAAAGCCTTTACATCTCAGCTCAACTTCTGAAATCTGTTTTGTTCTTTACTAAACTTGTATCCATGTCTGTTTTTGCCAGTGAACAGAATTAACCACACTGAGCTTTAGGAGAAAGGTTGGAGTGGATTCTGACAACAGCTAGAGTATCGATGATTCTGAATGGAAATTGGAGACCCCCACTGGTGGGAGAGACACTTGAGACCCCCATCGCGACCAGCAGAGACCATCCATACCGACTCACACTCACACAGGCATGCAAACTGCAACTTAAGACCACTTTTTAATGCAAAAATAACAATAAAATGCACGTGTGCTCCTTTGTAGGTCTAATAAATACACAACATAGATGATGCATTTGTCGAGCTCCCCTCTCCTCATACGTGCATATTCGCTCCGCAGCCGTTATGGAAAAACACCCTCATTGTTCCTCCCCAGTTACCACGAAACCATGACGCAGGCAGTTTTTTAGCAAGCGTGTGCGTGTGTGTGTCTGTGTGTGCCAACTTGGATGAGCTCCAGGCCTGAGTCACCTTCGCCCCCCCGGGACCTGATCCTCTCTGATGCCCAGATCATGTCCCCCGAAGCAGCCCCCACCACCAACCTGTCCCGTGAGACGGACGGAGAGCCAGGCAGAGAGAGACAGAGAGCTCGGGCTGCTGACAATTGGGATCAGCTCGGGATTAGCTGTTTCATTGGTCCAAAATTCACCTCATTCATGCTGATAAGATTCACTCACAATCTGGCAGGAGGTGAATCGAATGGCTCCATTCTGTTCAATTCTGTTTCATTCTATTCTATGCGAGTGTGTTGAAGATCATAATTAGACCTCTATCATCGTAAAAGCTCTCGTTTCCTCCAAGAGAGTTGTGTTACTCCACCAGATTTAGCTTTTTATGGCGATGAACCATCTATTAGCATATCAAGTGATATCACCAACGCTTGCCAACCTACTGCGCCCTACCTCTCCAGCACCAAATAGCAGACAGACAGTCTGGGTTTGTAGAGACAAGAGCGAAAAGGATTGCGATGAGTGTGTGATTCGTTGGGTTGCCAGAAAAACAACTCTGAATGGTGCTGATGTTACTCTGCGGGTGCTGGATGTGTCACTTTCTGCCTGCAACAACTTTATAAGGCGATTATGTGTCAATGTTGTGTTTACTGCTTGTTGCGTTATGTTAATACTGATCATTTAAGAATCCTGACTGATTGATTTTCTGTCTGTGAACTTTCAGTGTCTTTCTGTACCAAAGTGAAATTAATTTCACCCAGAGGGTGCCAGAACTAATATTGGTATAAATGTATCACTCTCACGTAACATTGTATGTGTTGAAAGGCAGCACAAAACCGCTGCATATAGTCTCCAGTCAACACCAAATAATAATCACTGAGTCAACAGCTGTTGCCGCGTGAATCACTTTTGAGCTCAGTAAAGTAGGAGTAGCCTCCCTTCTCACAAACAATATCTATGATGTTTTGTTCTGCCTCATGATGTTTGCATCAGACTCCAGTGAAATACGATTTTATCTATTACAACACATCCTGATCTCCTGTGTGTAGAAACATCCAGCTGATAGAAGATGAGCATTGTGTAACCCTGCTAACTTGCCCGGATGTGTCCCTCTGAGTCTGTGGTCTTTGCATGATTCACACACACAACACACACACACACACACACACACACACACACACACACACACACACACGTCTCTCAGGGTCAACTTCAACTTAGTTTCTTGTTGAGTCTACCGTCTTGTCTCTCTAATCTAATTAATTATCTCTCTCTCTCTCTTGTAACAATGCTCCTCATGCTTCCTTCCCCTTCCTGTTTCCTCCCCTCTCTCCATCTTCTTAATCACTCTGACTCACTTGTAATCTTGTAATCAATGTTTTCTCAGAAAAAACATTCACCTCAGCAGAAAACGGTGCCAATGATGATTGCATGAAATGGGTCAAAACTAATTACACTTCTTCTGTTAATACACAGTGCTTCCATGAGCTTTGTTTATCTAATTTGCTGTAAATTGCTGGACCAAAGGCATATTTCAGGCATATTTTGAGCATCATCAGGTCTTTAGAGGGCTAAATTATGATGCTGGAACTCTATATAAGCCCGTTAAACTGTCAAAACCAAAGAATCAGTAAGACATTACTCAACAAAGTTCCAGTGTACAGTTAGTTTACTGTAAGCAGTTTTGGTTGACGTCATGTTAAAGTCAAAGCATAATGAGATGTACAGTGCGCTCTATTTAATCAGTTTCCGTACACAGTTACTGGGCATCTGTGACTTCACATACACCACTCTTATTCTCTCTCCGTCTCTTTCTCGCCACGCACACACACACACACACACACACACACACACACACACAGGATTTGGCATGAGTCCCAGAACTTCCCATCCGATGCCTAACAGCACGGGGTTGTGACACACACACACAGATACACGTCCATACTGGGGCACAAAATATAGAGGCATGAAATCACTCATTTCAAATCTCTGAGGCCACTTGAATCCAATAAATGATACTGAAAATAAAAAGGATATATTACTATACTAGGGTGTGGTTTTTTTATTGCATCTGAATCCTTCCAGCCCTTTATCAAATCTTTTGAGCTTCTAGGTTGGCTTTCAATAATCTTAGTAGAAATGTGTATAAATAATCTAATATTGGCTCCAACACATATTATCTCGGCACCACTGGGCCAAACAACGTGTTCCTGCAGGAACTAAACATAAATTCAAAATAAGAAGGTGTGTGAGGGGACAACACACACACACACACACACACACACACACACACAGCTCTCACCTCCGTCTTTCCCTTTGCCACACAAGACCTCCTCTTCTCCTCCGGCACATCCCAAACAATCTGAGAGGGTTGAGGAGATAGAAAATCAACACTGTTAATAACAGAATGTGAGAAATATAATTACCACTCAATCCACACACACACACACACACACACACACACACACACACACACCCTACCACTTTTGGTTTTTGGTTCAGCTTGTCGGTGTCCACAGCCAGTATGGCATCCCTGGCACCCAGGAACAGCGTGCCTGTTGAACGGTCCAGCAGGAAGGTGCTGAAGTTGGCCACGCCCTGGAACTTCTCCGGCACAAGAATTTTAATTTTGTCTGTGGACAAAAAAAAGAGAGATTTTCAACATTTAGGAGAAGTTAGTGTTCTGCTAGGAAACTGGAATAACTATGATTAGCCTCCTTAAGTCATGTAAATGTCAGAATAAATGCTTGACAGGATGAGATAAATCCAACACCATTTTCCCAGAAAGAGGTTTAAAGAGATGAAGAGATGAGGGATGAGAGATGAGAGATGAGAGTAACCCTTGTGTCACCCTGCCCTCTTACACAATCAGAGCTACAGATTAACCCCTTTAATCTCTCTCAGTCTAAGTCTTTTTATTTTTCTCTCCGTTTGGTGTCATTTCCCCCTTTTCTCTCTCCTAACAGATACACGACAAACACCAACTCCAAACAGTCTTCTGTGTTTCTATCTGCCTCTATTTGAATGTTTCCCAATATTGATTCAGAGTCAAATCCACTGCTCTGGAGAAATACCCAAAACTGAATTATGCATAATCATGATATATAATAAATAATGTACGAATCTGTTACATAATGCATGATGTGTAATCTCCACTGTGTTTGTCTTTTTAATCTGAAAAATATCACATGAATCCAATCCCAAACGCTTTTGAGTTGTGTTCCAGCTCTTGTTTGCTCTCTCCGTCCCACTCTATCCTGCTCCATCATCCACTACAGGACCAAGTATATATGTGTGTGTGTGTGTGTGTGTGGGTTCATGTCCCAGCTGCTTTGAGGAAAGTGCACAGCTGTGTGCTGAACTTCTTTGGTGTGTGTGTTTTTGTGTACACAAGCTACCTCTGTGTGTGTGTGTGTGTGTGTGTGTGTGTGTGTGTGTGTGTGTGTGTGTGTGTGTGTGTGAGAAAGATTTAGCAGTTTTTTTGAAGTCCTACAACCCTGATCTCTGTTGACCTTCATGAAAAAAGCCAGAAATGTTCAGAGAGAGAACAGAAAATTCACAGAGCGGAACCAGTGGTTGGTTTCTGAGTCGTACTTCATCGCGATCAAACACGCACGCACGCACGCACGCACACGCGCACACACACACGCGCCCACACACACACACACACACACACACACACACACACCAAAGAAAGCAGCTCATTGCACCACAGGTTAAGTCATCGGGGGAAAGATTAAAGACGAATGCTAATCAATGAAGCCTGTAATATTTTTAACCTCAAACAAACCAACAAGAGCAAAACAATACACTACATATTACTCATTTCACATTACTCAGTGTATTTGCACAATCAAAAACTTAACGGAACGTGACTAATGACTGTAACAAAGCCCACACCCTCCTTTGGGCAAACAGATGCAGACTCACAACTTAACATGAGATGCTGTGTTAATCTTGTGCAGGAACATTTTCAACAATTTTTCAACAATTTTGAAAAAAGATGTAATTATTTCTGACTGATATTGCGATATGATTGGAGGGAATGAGCATTCAATTTAAATTTACATTTAGCCTTTAGCAAATATTGTGCCTCCTGTGAATTGGCCATGTTGTAACAATAGGCGATATTTTGTTGCTCATGAATTCGACTTCGTATTTGTAAGAGGAGGACTGCGTTCACATTGTTTTTGATTAAGTTGTTTTAATCTTCATCCATTAAGCAGCCTCATCATCCTCCAAACACTTGCACACGCTCTCCTCTACTTAATCTGTGCCGGCGTCAAATGGAACCACGAGCCCGTAAACGCTCGACAGGAGAACAAGCAGCATTCCTTTCCGTAATGGGCTTTTCTAACTCGCCTGATAATGTGGGAACTCGGGAGAAAGGGAGATGAAAGGAGAGAACAAACACAATCGTGCACACACCCTGTATTATTCTGCAGGTGGAGGTGAGAGGTGGTGACAATCAGGAGTGTACAACAAAACAGAAAGGAGCAGGAGTTGTCAGTACAAACAACATTTATTTATTCACCTTCATCGAGATAATTGCTAAAAGGAAGACAGTAAGTACTAGTAGAACTTAATACATTTCCCAAATCACATGAAGGAGAATAGAGTGTGAAGAAAATCCTTTGAGTTCCATCCACCATAACAGTTTTAATCTTTTGGGCGACAGCTGCCAAATTCAAGGGGGGGGGGTCATGTTCCTCAAAGTACCGTGTCAGAATATTCTGATTGATGGCACTCGCCACTAACATGGTTTTCCACTTAGAGGCTGTCTGTGTCATTCTGTGAAGTGAAAAAAAGATCCCAACACACTGACATCTGCCCATAACTGAATCACAGACATGTCCTCTCCCCCTGCCGTCCATCCAGTCGGGCTGTGTCTGTTTCCCGTAACGTTCCACATCAATGTCATCTCTCATTCACTAAGGAGCCATCTGTTCATTTAAAGGCCTCCAGGCAGTCGAATAGCAAGCCGCACGCTCTGATTTGCCAGCTGTGGGCCTGCAACTTCCTGAAAATCAGCCAATGAGAGGAGGGAGATGGCTGTCTGTTGAAGCAGACGAATACGAGACACGAGTGTTTAGCTGTTCACCAAATACAACAAAGCTGCTGATATCATGTGTTGAGTTGTTCCGTGTTGCCCTTGATTAAAAGCGTTTGTTGTGTCCTTCTTCCACTTTTACACCCCAAGCTAATGAAATAAACACGTCCCTCCTCAAACTGTCAATCAAAGCCGACAGATGAAAGCTGAAGATGAATGGAGGATCATTGGAAACCTCTGAGTCTCATTCTCTCATCTTTTCACACTTTTCTTTCTTTTGTCGCTTCTCTTCATCTGCTCCGTCATCCATCCATCCATCCATCCTTTCATCACCCTGCAGCCTCACATCGCCGAAAGACATCAACTGTCTTTCTGCTGGTCGGACACACACACACACACACACACACACACACACACACACAAGACATGAGTGTTAGTGACACAGGCCAAAGGCAAGGTCTGGAGAGATGTCCTTGTACACTGGTCCTCGCCGGCTGTGTAGGACATGACGACACACACACACACCCACGCGCACACGGTGCCACCACCTGCCATGCACCCTAATGTAGAGAGATGATTCCTAGAGCTACACCATCTGCCCTTCTCACATACACACACACACACACACAGACACCTCTAACATCCAGACACACACTCAAACAAAACAAAAAAGGCCTGATGCATGCCTCGGAAAGAAATATAATATATCATGCATTTCCTTGTTATTCGCTGCCTTCTTGTCTTTTACCGTCATTGTGACATACGTAGCTGTTTGTTAGAAGCTTTTTTGTAAATAAATATGATTGGACATATGTCACAAGGGAAGCTCTGCCTCTCGGGTAAACGCCTCCTCTTTGACAGCAGGGGCCTGCAGCTCGCCACGTATGAAATATCCCTTCCTGCCTGGGTGTCTGTGTGGCACATACAGAACCCATTCATGTGTGATGCGTGTACGTGGAGGTGTGCATGTGTGGCGGTCACAGGCCGTAGAATAAAGTAAATATAATGGCACCTCTGCACACTGAATTAACAAAGACTAAGAGTCCTAATAAATTCACTTTTGAGAAGCTTCGTGAGAGTTTATCAGAGATGTTCCACTGATAACAGCTGCCTGCTGTGGCTGAAAAAGAGGTTCATGCGAGCACCGAGAGTGAACCAAAACACCCAAACGCTAAAGTTATGGGCCGAAAAGAACAAAAAAAATGAGCTAAAGGAGGCTCAAAAGTTGCGAGGAACTGCAGGTTTGGGTGACAATTCTGATTATCTCAATTGTCATTTGACATTCCATCCCATTTTTGATAACAAAATATTGATTAGTGCAGCTTTAACTCAAAGAAGAGGCACCCCACACAGACCGTCACTGTAATCCCTGGATGAATAAATGTTAAAAATAGAGCAGTGGTTATTAAAGTGCTTTTTTTTTAACATGGATGTACTGTAACTGGGACAATAGTCACAATGCAGGATTTGACAGAAAATGAGGAAGTGCGAATTAAACATGATCCCCGTGATGTGTCTAGAAGACCTGGCGACCTTCTACATGCTGGAAAGAAAGAAATCTCACCCGGGGTACAATTTTAAAAAGCGACTGGTGTGAGTATAAATGAATAAGTAGTCCTAAAATACAAAATCCTCTCCCCTGCCATGAATCATTCATTCATTATACATTAAACATGACTGAGAGGCAGCCAGAGAGAGGGACCAACAGAGTCTGTGTGTGTGTGTGTGTGTGTGTGTGTGTGTGGCATGTCCATTAAGGTTTTAATAAACTGACTTTTGCTCTGGGGGGACCAAACCTAGTCTCTGGCTGCAGGGCATTGTGGGATGGGACCAACCAGGAAGTGATAAATTATACACCTCCCTCCTCCATGTGTCAATCAAAACTGACGGGATGGAGAGAAGAGATGCAGAGAGGCACACACACATGCTCCTGCCCCCACAGTCTCTTGCGCGCACACACACTCTCAGCCCCTATGGTGAGACAGGACACAGCTGCACGATCAAAACAGTCTGCAGAAACACACATTTATAGCTCTCTTTGCCATCATCCACTCAGCTCAATGCCATATTCCGGCTGCTGTTTCCTCTGAATACTTCAGCGGGACTCAGACGTATATATATGTGCTCCGCAAGTTAAAGGAATACACCAGCTTCTGGCAGGTTGTCCCATTAGACGGCATACCCGGCTCCACGCTAACACTTCAGCGTGCATTACGGTGAGTGACGGCAGACAACTGGCGCCATCCAAAGTGAGACAAGTTACTCTCCTGTCATTTATTCGCAGGTGTAAAGCCTAACTGTGGTGTTTAAAATAGAACATAAATGAAAATGTAAAAATATATGAAAATATTCAAGTATTTGTACACGCTGTGTGTCATATGTCATATTAGTTACACCATTATTCCTACGCATGACACGGCTGAACACAGCTTTTTATTTTCTCATATTAGAGACGCGTGTAGTGTTGTCCTTTGTTCAGACCCCGCAGCAGAGCTTAATTACATCCTGACATGCTGCCCCCTCTCTTCATGGGCTTACATGCATCTCGGGCTCGTGTATGCATTGTGACAGTAAAAGCAAGTG